AGGGCAACAAGTAAGACTCTAAAAACATCAACTCCTGATGTTGTTGCAGATGGTGGAAAGCATGAAGTACCCCTTTCGGCAGGGCATGCGGTTAGAGGTAGTGGACAAGTCCCAAGTGTCACGGACCCGCATGGCTGTGGTGGACACAGTAATTGGGGGTCGCCTGAGGCTCCTTTATGAGGATGGTGACAGTGACGATGACTTCTGGTGCCACATGTGGAGCCCCCTGATCCACCCAGTAGGTTGGTCACGTCGCGTCGGCCATGGCATTAAGATGTCAGGTGAGCAGTGGCCTTAGGCTTTGCTTCCTAAGGACTGGGTGGGAGTACCTTCCCCATACTTCATGATAGTGCTGGGAGGTAGGTTATAATGTGTACTTTGCAGGTGACAGTGCTAAGCTCCAGAAAGGTTGAGTGACCAAGATCATGCAGCTCAATTTGTGAGTGGTACAATCAAGAGTTGAACCCAAGTCCAGTAGGTGGCTCTCACCTGTAATCCCAGCACTCTGGGAGGCTAACGCAGAAGGATCCTTTGAGCTCAGGAATCCAAGACTGGCCTGAGCAAGAGTGAGACCCTGTCACTACTAAAAATAGAAAAATTTGCCTGGCATTTTTAGTAATCCCAGCTACTAGGGAGGCTGAGGCAGGAAGATTGACTGAGCCCAGGAGTTTGAGGTTACTGTGAGCTAGACTGAAGCCATAGAACTCTACACAGAGCAACAAAGTGAGATTGTGTCTCAAAAAAAAAAAAGAAAAAGTTTGAAGCAGATCCCCTTCCATGTCATGGGAAGAGTCTGGGGCTCCAGGTTGAATAGTCTATGAAGACTCTTGATGTTTTCTGGGCTAGACCCATCTGTCTCCTGGTCTGGGTGGCAATACTGTGGGTGCTGAGACACAGCCAAGAGCATCCGCACAGCAGCTCCATGTGCACAGGGGAGGTGCAGAGATGGCCCTGTCAGCTGCCTTCAACTCCCTTCTCTTCCTCACTCTCTCTGATAACCCCTCAAAAAAAGAGAGGCGAAGTGACATGGCCCATCATCCCACCTTCCGGAAAATCTACTGTGATGCTGTTCCTTACCTGTTCAAGAAGGTGAGGTGCAGCCCTTGGGCTCTTTTCCCCTTGGCCAGAGGTCCATTCCAGGTCTGAGGACCCATTCCTGGCTCTCCCTGGGACCATCCCTTTCCCTCCCTGTTTCCTTCCTACACAGCGATTCCCCAGCTGCCCCATTCCTTCCAGGTACGGGCTGTCTACACAGAAGGTGGTTGGTTTGAGGAGGGGATGAAGCTGGAGGCCATTGACCCACTGAATCTGGGCAATATCTGTGTGGCAACCATCTGCAAGGTGAGCCTGGGGCTGGCCCTCAGGGGACTGATGTGGTACAGAGCTCGACTATGTGTTGTTGGGACTGCAGCTCATTCATTCCACTTCCTTGTTTTTGTGAGCAGGAGCCGTACTCCTTGCTCAGAATCTAAAGTGTCAGAGGCTAAGGCAAAAACCTGAGCCTGGTCCTATGTCAGGTATAAGCCCCACACTGTCATCTCACTAGGAGCCTGACTGCCACATGCCATGTCCTCTGAGTGCTGGCCTAGCCACCGAGATGCTCCGCTAGGCTCAGTTTGCTCCACACCTCCTTCGTTATTACTACAGCCTGAGTAGCACACAACTACCCTTGGTCCTCCTGGATGACAGTGCTGCTCTGTCCCTTCAGCATGTTTTCTCCATGACAGGTGTGTGGTCACCCCTCTGAAAAGAGGTGATAAGACAGACACAGTCCCTGCTGGCTGTGCATTTGCTGTCTACCAGGAACGATAAATACTCTCACAAGTGTGCATAACCAGTGTTGCATGCTGTCGAGAAGCTCAGGGTGTACTTGGGCAGGCGAGTTCCAGACCCACTAGATCCATCTGCCTCCTGTCCTCACTGTAGCCACCTTACCCTGGGTGGGTGCAGTTCATGACAGACACCATTCTGTCTGCCCCACCCCTCCCTAGGTTCTCCTAGATGGCTACCTGATGATCTGTGTGGATGGGGGCTCCTCCACAGATGGCTCAGACTGGTTCTGCTACCATGCCTCCTCCCACGCCATCTTCCCAGCCACTTTCTGTCAAAAGAATGACATTGAGCTCACACCCCCAAAAGGTAAGTCAGGCCACTACATGCTGGCTTTGCAGTTAGAAGGGGCAGATGAGGCCACAGGCCAGGATTCCTGGTCAAGCCAGACACGTGGGGTATGGATTTTCACGATGTATAGGAGAAGTGACAGAGCCACTCAGGGCCACCACCAGCCATTGACAGTGCCTAGGCTAACTTAGCCCCATGGTTGCTACGTGGTTGGTGAGCAGAATTCCTACTTGTCCCTTTGGGCAGTGAACAACCTACACTGTGGTCCCCAAGCCAGGTACCAGCCTGGAGAGGAGGGAAGCACGCTCCTGGGGAGACTCCAGGCTGAGCCGTGGCCAAGCTGCACCCTTCAGCAGTGTGTTCCTCCCCTGCAGCCTGCTTCTCACTTCCCCTCCTCTCCCTACACATTTGAGCTTTCTTCTCCTCTAGGCTATGAGACACAGATGTTCAACTGGGAGAACTATCTGGAGAAGACCAAGTCGAAAGCTGCCCCATCGAGGCTCTTCAACATGGTAAGGAGACCAAGGGTAGAAGAAGGGGCTTGCAGTGCCTTAGGACTGGCCCTACCACTGCTGTCAGTGGGAGCAATTCCAACCCTCTCTCTCGAGTCTCCGCTGCTGACATCAGCTCTTCCAGGGAAGAAGTCCCACATTGAAAGGCACTCAAACCCTTTTTCGTAGAGGGGCTTGTGCTTGGGAAAGAAGTGCCATAGGCTGTTGTCCAGAGGAACCTGCCCCAGCAGGCATTCTAGTGCTAGCTCCCCTACCCCACCCCCAGGTCCAAGTGAGCCTGCTGGGTCAGAGCTGGATGGCTTGGCAACTGCCTTCTTCCCCCACCCAGGACTGCCCAAACCATGGCTTCAAGGTGGGCATGAAGCTGGAGGCTGTGGACCTGATGGAGCCCCGGCTCATCTGTGTGGCCACAGTGAAACGGGTGGTGCATCGGCTCCTCAGCATCCACTTTGATGGCTGGGACAGCGAGTACGACCAGTGGGTAGACTGCGAGTCCCCGGACATCTACCCCGTCGGCTGGTGTGAGCTTACTGGCTACCAGCTCCAGCCACCTGTGGCCGCAGGTCTGGGTGCTCTCTGCCCTCAGGGGCTTTTGACTTTCCTTCCTCTTCTTTCTTCCTTCCTGCCCCCTCTGCTGTGCCCAATTTACTTCTTTGGCATGAGATCAAGAAGCCTCATGGGCCAGTCTGTGTAAGGAGTGTGCCCTGCCTCCCTGCCCTGACTTCTCTGTCTCCCTCTCCCTCTGGCCTGCAGAGTTCCTTCCTTCATCTTGCCCACTCTGTCATAGGCTCGTGCCCTTATGCACCCAGGTAAACTACCCAGGTCCCACTGAGCAGCCCTGGCGGCAAGGGTGGGTAGAAGGGACAGTTATTTCCAGCCCCTCTCCTTGGTTCCCCCCATTCTCATTGCCCAGCTTTGGCTCCCTTCTCGGGTAATCTGTGTGAGGGTGGGAAGGGTCTCGGGGTACACCTGTGCCCTGTGTCCTTCCAGACCCTTCTCAACTCTTTCACCCCATCTTTCACCAACAGAACCAGCCACACCTCTGAAGGCCAAAGAGGCCACAAAGAAGAAAAAGAAACAGTTTGGGAAGAAAAGTAAGTGATGGTCTAAATTGTCCAGGCTTTTGTGGGACCCAGGAGCAAAGGCAGGAGCATGCTCCTGAAGTACTGTCCCACCAATATAGCTCTCTTCACAGGCCTGCCCTGTCTTTTCTCCCCTGCCCTTTGGCCCCACAGGTCATTCACCCTGTGTCTTTGGGGATCCAGAGCAAAAATGGGGAGTGTAGTCTCTGGCAGCGTTCAGGATGCTGAGGAAGGCAGATGAGATCATGTTTGAAGAAATTGAGGTTGGGGGATCCCTATCCCTGCTGCCCCAGGGTCAGAAAATGGCCTGGTCTCTTTGGCATTCTGTAGCTACTAAGTCACTGGCTTCTAAAGGAAAAGGCACAGAAAGAAATAGAAGGTGTCTTTATAAGGCCTTCATTCTTCCTTTGTGACCTCCTTGAGGGTGGAAGCCAAGGCCGGCTGCTGAGTGGCTAACTCCTTGTGGCATTCAGGCCTCACTCTTTTTTTTTTTTTTTTTTGAGACGGAGCCTCAAGCTGTCCCCCTGGGTAGAGTGCCATGGTATCACGCTCACAGCAACCTCCAACTCCTGGGCTCAAGCAAGTCTCCTGCCTCAGCCTCCCAAGTAGCTGGGACTACAGGCGCCCGCCACAGAGCCTGGCCATTTTTTTTTTGGTTGCAGCCGTCATTGTTGTTTGGCGGGCCCGGGCTGGGGATTCGAACCCGCCACCTTAGGTGTATGTGGCTGGCGCCTTAGCCGCTTGAGCCACAGGCACTGAGCCTCAGGCCTCACTCTTAACTGATCCTGAGCCCGTGTGGGCTCAGCTGAGGGCAGCAGGTGGAAGGGGGGGAGGGTCAAAGCTGGTTTCTAGACTACAGGCCAGTGATAGCAAGGTGGTCTCTACCAATGACTCCATGCAAGGAAGGAGATATCCTAAAACAGGACAAAGCAGAAACAAGGACTAGGTCTCTGGGCAGGATTAAGAGAGAGTTGTGTTTATCAGGTGGGCAGTGAGTGAGTCTGTGCTGTTCAGAACATCAGGGCCAGGAAAGTTGCATGTTATGGGAAGAAAGCAAAGATTGAAAAGGGAAACTGACAACCACACTTGCTCTGAGTTTGGTTCTCGAGGGAGGTGGTGTTATTCATCCCTGTTAGAGAGAACCTCAGGTTACACAGCCAGTAAGGGACATTGTCAGAGTTGGAGTTTAGACCTTCTGTCCTCCACGGTACTTTCTCCTCTGCCATACTACCTGAGTGCTGGATGAGACCTAGCCTGAAGGTCTCACGTAGGTACGACTTTAATCCTCGGTTTGAATCCACTTTTATTCAAAGGGAAAAGAATCCCTCCGACCAAGGCGAGGCCCCTCAGACAGGGGTCCAAGAAGCCCCTACTGGAGGATGACCTGCAGGCTGCGGGGAAGATCTCAGAGCCCATTTCAGACGAGAGTAAGAGCCACCGGGCTGGGTTGAGGCAGGACCAGCCTGCTTTATGCTCAGAGGCGGCCCCTCTTCTTCCTGACCTGGGCACAAAAGAGTAGTCAAGTTTGGTGGGAATTTTCTGGGCACCAAGCAGTCCTGACCCACTGGGCCTGGAGACCTTGCCAGATACCCACCCCCAACTCTCAACAGAGCTGAGTCCCCCAACCAGCAAGGTGCCGTGGCCTTTTCTTCTTCCTCCATCTCTGCCCCCACCCTTTGCGCTGGTCAGGGGTGGCATATCACCCACTGTCAGTGGCTCTGGCACAGTCTGCCTGGTTGGGGTATCCTAGGGCTCTGGGCCTTTGCTACTGCTGCCCTTCAGAGGCAAGCAGGAGGGTGAAGATTGTCCCTTGGGCCCCCATCTATAAGGAGCCAGATCCCTCTCCCAAAGTTATAGGCTTGCTCACTCTGTTCTCCGTGCCGCCCTACCTCCCCTCCCTCTCCAGTCATTGCTGTACAAGTGAAGGAAGAGCAGCTAGATGTGGCCTCACCAGACAAGACTCCAAGTCCAGAGCTGCCTGTCTCTGTAGAGAACATCAAGCAGGAGACAGACAAGTGAGCCTTCTGCTGCCAGCAGGCCCCTCGCTGGAAACCGTCCCATGCTACAGAGCAGAGGGGAGGCCCAGGGCATCTCTGTGGCCACTACTACTGTACCCACTTTAGTTTGGAGACTGAACATTTATCCAGTAATTTCTGCCTGGTGCCGTGAAGGCTGGGCACAGAAGTACCAGCTTGGGGCTCCTTTGACCATGACCTGCCTCTGCCCTCTGGGCAAGCCCTACAAGACTTGGGGGCCCCAAACTTATCTGTGAATGACCCCTTCTCCAGCCTGGGCTCCCGAAGCTGGAATGTTCCTTGTCCAGGCTCCCTGCTCTTCCCCACCGAAGCATCCTCCACCCCACCACACCTCTCAACTGCCAGGGGTGGGCCACCCAGTCACACTGGAAGACAAGACCGTGAACTCTGTGTTTGCCCAAGTTGAGTTATGTAAATAAAGTTCTGAAGCAGCTCTCTGAGCAGAAGAACATCTGCTGGTCGGCAGCAAATAGTATTAAGGGTAGCAGCCTCTGCCTAAAAAACTAATCAGGCTAAATGCTTCTCTGTCTCCTGTGTTGGTGCTCTGCTCCCAGCACCATGGGGACATAGGAGACCCATGCAGGAACCCAGCTTTGGCACACAGCTGAGAAACAGTGGTCAGGATGTGGGTTTGGGTGACTCATGAGGGGCCTTGGCCTATTTTCTCTGTTGGTGTGAACCCTGACTCCCATTTCCTAAAAGGAATAGTGGTAGGAGGCTTGTGGAGGCCTGGTGCCCCTTGGGGCTGACTCAGTGTGGAAGGTGGTAAGACAGGCTATTTACTGCTACAGTAGCAGGATGGGGAGGTGAGCTTGGTCCTCATAACTTGGTTAGACCTGTCATTGTCACTCTTCTGATAACCAGGGTCAAGCATGGCTAGCTGAGGTGGCCCTAAAGGGGACTTTTTAAGCCAGACAACGTGGCTCATGTCTGTAATCCCAGCCCTTTTGGGAGGCTGAGGTGGGAAGATCTCTTGAGCTCAGGAGTTTGAGACCAGCAAGAGCAAGAACCCCATCTCTACTAAAAACAGAAAAATTAGCTAGGTATGGTTGGGCACACTTGTAGTCCCAGCTACTTGGGAGGCTGAGGTAAGAGAACTGTTTAAGTCTTAGAGTTTGAGGTTGCTGTGAGCTATGTATGACACTGCAGCATTCTACCCAGGACAGAGTGAGACTCTGCCTCAAGAAAAAAAAAAAAAAAGACGGTTGCGGCTCGATACACCTGAGCTGGCAGGTTTGAATCCAGCCTGGGCCCACTACACAATGACAGCTGCAACCAAAAGATAGCCAGGTGTTATGGTGGGTGCCTGTAGTCCCAGCTACTTGGGAGGCTGAGGCAAGAGAATCACTTGAGCCCAGGAGTTGGAGGTTGCTGTGAGTTGTGATGCCTACCACTCTACCCAGGGTGATGGCTTGAGGCTGTCTCAAAAAAAAAAACAAAAAAACCCAGACTGTTGCCTACTTCTGCCAGCACCCCTGAGAGGGAGGGAGAGGAGGGGAGAGGGGTTAATTGTACTCTCCCTGGCTCACTTCTAAGACCTTGTTGAGTCCTTACTGTATTTTCTTTCTCCCCATTCCTTTCTGAAACTATGAACTACAAGTTCAGGTAGTAGCTGCCCAAATCTCAACACTTTATTTTTCCCACTCTTCCTTGAAGCTCTCTTCTCTGGGATCCAATCCCCTTTTTTTATTTGAGACAGAGTCTCACTATGTCACCCTTGGTAGAGTGTCGTGGCATCATAGTTCACAGCAACCTCAAACTCTTGGGGTTAAGTGATTCTCTTGCCTCAGCCTCCCAAGTACCTGGGGCTACAGCCCCCCGCCACAATGCCCAGCTATTTTTT